CCCTATGAAGGTACATAGGGAACAAGAGGACAAAACTAAAGTACAATAGCGAAGGCGGTGCTACTTAAATAGAGTAGGGCAAATAGAGTTTGATAAATATGAAACACTGAGTTGGATCAGCAATGTACAGGAGACAGGTGTCACTGGGTTGCATCAGTGATGGAGACAAGACATGATAGATATGAAACATGATGTAGGCAAGACAGGAGACAAGTGATAGATATGGAATGCTTGATGTCGATGAAACACATCAAGTGATGGGATCAGTTGTATAGTACAGGGTCAATGACGAATAGTTAGGAAAAGAAAAAGAACCCCCCCCTCTCACGCTATAACACTACCTCCCTCTCCAGATTCGTCGTTCACAGTTTCCATTGAGCACATCGCTCTTGTAAGTACCTGGGTTCGTCAGTGGGACAGGGAAGTTGTCCAGGTTGGATGTTGACGGCGGTACGGAATTTATGACGGGGGTGAAGGAGTCCGCAACAAGACCACAACCAATGCCAACACTCACTCTGAAGGTGACCATCAGTCTCGCATTTAGTACAGAAGCGAAGCCGGCGGGGCATTGCACCAGAAGGGGGAGTGATGATGGAGAATTTGTGTTGTTTGAGTCATTCCTCCAGGTTGGCCGCTCGAAGTCGAGCCCTACACTGGTCCATCTCCTGTTGGGCGCGGATGAGTTCTGCCCCCACTGATCGTCGTGTGGCCAGTAGTAGATCTATCTTGGCATCGACAGCCCAGAAACTATCAACTTCATCAATCACTCCGAGATCCTTGATGTCTTGTAGTGATGCCCAAAGACTTTCTAACAGATTGTCATCTCGCGTCAGCAAGTATTCCCAAGTATCCTCCTCCCACTCTTTGTCTGATTGGTTCTAATTCCCCACCGGTTCTGCAGTCTGGAGTACGTCTGCTGTGGTTGTTGAAACCCATTGTAGTCCAAATGCTGGATTTCTGTCGATAGGAACACCCATAGGAGGTTGAGTAACCGTGGTGGCATACGCTCCAGGAAAGTGAGGTAGTACACGTTCCAGAGGATTGACATCTTGAACAGGGGTGGAGGCGTTGAATGGAAGGGATCACCAGTATCGGGTGACATTGTTGGAGGGTCGCTGGATGACGTCGTCGCTGTACACTACAAACTCCTGGGGATCGCTGCTATATCCTTCTGTTGCCTTAATGTATTTGCTGATGTCTGCTAGCAGTTGTAGATTAGGAGGATGACCAATGCTGCCATTGTCCGAGGCGTCTGAGGCAAGAGGCGACATGCTAGGGGAGTCAGTGGATGCGGCAAGGGGGCTGTTAGGATTTGGAGAGGAGGAGATATTCATAGGCAATGAGGATGGAAAAACCTGTGCAGGGGCGATGTGGTAAGATCCAGTGGTAGCTTCTGATGCCTGAGGGACTTCCAGGGGTCCAAGAAATTGGTGTAGGACTACAGCGTTGCTATTGGAAGAGTCTGGGGGTCCTGGGATGAGGAAGGGTTGGCAAGTGATGTTTGGCAGAAAGGGAGAGAATGGATAACAGAAACCGCCTTCATCAAGGAATTCTAGGGAAGAGTCATCCGACTCCTGCTGAGAAGGGAAGCTCAAGATGGGATGCCTAGGAACTGGCATCTCTATCATACCAGCTGTGAAGTGCTCTTCTAGAGTCTGGAGGTGGGAAGGGAGAGGGGTTGGCACTCTTTGGGGACCAGTCTCTGGAGAATTGTTATGCCTAGGAGCCAGAGGGCGACGGTGCGGGTCCAGATTAGAAGTCTCATTGTTATTTCTAGCGCGGTTGTTGCGCTCAGCAGGCATGAGGGAAAGCCAAAAAGGAATTGTTCTAGAAAAAACCAAGCCCAGAATACAAAGACAGGCAACTACTACAGACAAGACAAGACCCCAAACGCTAATCTTGATGCTCCCTAATGTACTCAAAGTACACTTGTGTCGGGTTGTTGCTGTCGCGGTTGGCAGCGATGACCGGGAGCGTGGTGGTGGTATGGGGGAGGGGGTGCTGGGCAGTGGTGGCAATGTTGAACGCCTGCTGGTGTTCCCGTTCTAGATGTCG